GTATAACTTATTCATTCTTATCAGACGCAAGATCCATGTGTTAGGCTTATCAGACGCAAGAGCGAACTCTGGACTATACACAGTTTAGAGAAGACTCGACCAAAAGTGATAAGTGAGACACAGAAATCTTCATAAACTTAGTCCAACTCCCATTCAAATATAGATCCGCTGGCCTGTTTAACCAAAGATGGGATAAAGCCAATTGCCCAAAGGTACTAGTCTAAAACGTTTTTAAAAATCATGATCCTATTTTTTAAATATTTTAATTATGACCAATGAAACTTATAATTTAGTCTTTTTGTTTAAAATAAATAATAAAAAGAGAAATTTCAAAATATGCCATTTTTCAAGTATCACTTTACAAAAATACCACATTTTTGAAATCTTTACAAAAATGACACTTTTTCAAAATTATTTTTTCTTTATATTATTTATGTGTGGGTTAATTATGTTCTATTAGAATTTAGTTTTGAGTGTTTAGGGGATTTTAGGTGTCAAAACATTTTTTAGGATTTAGAATTTTAAGATATAGGTTTTATAAATCTATAATTAGTGGTATTTTTTTGTAAATGGACACCCCTAAGTGGTATTCTTGTAAATGTACATACAAAAAGTGGTATTTTTGTAATTGACGAAAGTAAATAATTTATTATTACCTTGAAAAATCAGGTTAGAGTTGACCCGGACAATTTAATCCACTAAATACCGTCTCTCGAAACTAAATCTCATAGTTTTTTTTTTTTGTTCAACCACGTCTCATAGTTACTTTTAAGATTTTCAGCAAGCGAAACACTTTTCTATCAGTAAAAATTATCAAAGTATTTAACACACAAAACGAGAAAAATTATGCATCACAAACATATTGAACAACCCAAGATATCAAATACATTAAAAGTCAAACGAACTGCACGAGGCAATCAATCATCTCACCGCTGCCAAAAACGCACGACCATCGGTCTTCTAAATCCTACGATTATATCAACTCGACCCGTAGCACAAAACATGGTTGATATATCCGAGTCAAGTAAATTAATATAAACATTATTTTCAGTTTTCACCACTTCGTAGAGATGGATAGTCATTTTCCAAGGAGAGATGCACACTTTTTAAAAAGATGGACCGTTCTTTACAACATGATCATCGAAAAACACATTCAAATTTACTTGTTTACTTCTCAAAGAGTTCCAACTCAATATGGGAGATGTTATTCTCCTTCTAACCCTCACCAAACATATAATATTGGACTTCAGATCACTTCTCAATTGACTCCAACACATCACCATTACTTCTCTTTCCCGTAAAATCAACTCTTGTCCAATCACATTCAAATTCTGATTCTAGTACCAAAGAAATCTATTTAGTCTTTCAAGAGGTATTCTTGACTGTATTTTTTTGTTTGAAACTTTTTCTTGATCATATTCTTGTGACAAAGAGACATCACCCGATTAAAGGTTGGAGATAAATATCTTTCATCGTGTATCTGCGTGATGGATTTTTTCACCGCGTATCTGCACAAGTCTAGCTTGGTTCACTTACCAATAAGTTGTATCATCTACCTTACGCTTGTTGGCAAGTCTAGCATAGCAAACTTCCCCCATTAAAAAAAAAAATTAATTATGTGATAGACTTGAAAATTCACTCCATATTTGGATAATGTGATAATTTGATAATTTTTAACAAATTTTTCGATATAAAATAGAAGTGTGGTGGTGAGTATGTTTATTTATAGGGAAGTTTACTCAAACAATTTTAGAAAGTTTGTTTTTGACGAAAATAATGTTCATTTTTGAAAATTACTCAAACAATCTTTTCTATCCGTTTTACTCTTATTTGCTTTGAAGACAAAAAACGTATTTACGAAACTACCATTGATCAGACACGACACGTCAGCAAAAAGTTTCCCGCAAAAAAAAATAAGTTTACCATTCTTGTGATGGTAGGTTTATTTTATGATCGGTAGATTTATTATGGGGTTGGTAGACTTAATTCAAGTCCGTAAACTTTATCGACGGACGGTAGAGTTAATATTTGAATGGTAGACTTATTGTGTAGGCTTATTTTTATTTGGTGGTAGAGATTTTTTTGGGTGGTAGACTTAAACTATGAGTGGTAGAGTTAACGCCGGCAGTGGTAGATTTGTTTTTGAGTGGTAGATTTGTTTTTGAGTGATAGACTTAGTAATCGAATGGTAGATTTATCTCGGTAGACTTATTATTGAGTAGTAGATTTATTTGTATGTAATGGTAGACTAATTACTTGTGGTAGATTTAAATTCCTAGTAGGTAGACTTAAATTCATAGTCGGTAGACTTACAGATGGTTGCGATCGTAGACTTTATTTATAGTAGTGGTAGATTTATAATATTTAGTAGACTTATTACTTCTGTTGGTAGAGTTATTCAATCTTTCCAACCAGGATAGTAGACTTATATGTTTACATACAATGATGGTAAACTTGTCTTTTTACATACAGTGATGGTAAACTTGTATGTTTATATACAATGATGGTATACTGTATGTTTACATATTACTTTAAACTTGTATATTACTTTATAACGCATACACTAGTCGCAAACACGGATCGATATACAAGTCTACCATCATTAAAAAAATAAGTCTACCACTAATGGTTACGTATATTTTCATACTGAATCGAAATAACTCTACCATAACAAGAAAATAGTCCAAAAAATCTACCATGAATTTA